GGAGCAATGCGTTTAGGAGTTCCAGTCTTAGACACTTGCTTAATGGGTGCGACTTTGGTTTTAGCAACCATCAAATTAACTTCATTCCTATTGTGAGATGTTAGTTGAACACAATAGATGACAGCAGCGTAAGCAGATTCTGACGAATCACAAAAACCATGCAGATAGACGTGGTTAGATGTATTGGGTTGGAGGGAAAGTTCTGTCGTATTTTAAAGAAAATATTTGAATTCATTTATAAAAATATGTGTTTAATATTAATCAATTATATATGCTCCGTTATTTGTTACAACCTGTTGCCATCTTCCAGGTAACCTGTAAATTCCTGTTTTGTAGAAGTTCTCATCCGTGGAGTTAAAATAGTCAGCAACTGCCTTAGAAAAACTTTCAAAAGACTTGAATTTTTTTCCCGTTAGATAATTTTGCAGAGATCTGAACAGGTAATAATCAGAGGGTGCACAATGTCAGGTGAATACGGGGGGTGACTAAGGATTTCCCATCCTAACGCATTCAGTTTTTGTAGTGTCACCACTGCAGTAATGCGGGCGAGCATTATCGTGATGGAACACTATTCCTTTTTCTGGACGCTAATGCTGGCCTTTTTTCTTTGATAGCTGCATTCAATTTATCCAGCTGATTGCAGTACAGATCTGCGTTAATGGTTTTTCCCTGTTTCAGCAACTCATAATACACTGGACCTTTCCTGTCCCACCACAAACAAAGCAGTACTTTTCGTTGATGGATACTTGGTTTTGGAACTGTTGCTGATGATGTTCCTGGTTTGCAGTAAGATTTTTTTTCTTTTAATATTCTCGTAAAGAATCCACTTTTCATCTCCAGTAACCAGCCTGTCCAAAAATGGCTCCACATTGTGTCTAATCAGATGTGATGAACATATTCTTACACGATCAGACAAATTCTTTCCGTTAATTCATGTGGAACCCAAACACTTTGCTTTAACACAAACCCAAGAGATTTAATGTGATCTCCAACAGTTGTATGATGAATGCCAAACTCTTCTGCAATTTGTCGACTTGTTAAATGTGGATTATTTTCCAACATGGGTCGCAAAACGTATTATCGATCTTGGATGGTCGTCCAGATCGAACACTTTCTTTGAGGCTCAGGTGCCCGGAACGAAATTTGCTAAACCATCTTTGACAAGTACGAACATTTACAATATCTTTTCCAAATACCGCACATAAATTTTTACATGCAACAGATGCGTTGCTTCCTTTTTGGAATTCATATAAAATGCAGTGTCGTAAATGCACTTTATCTACCGACATGTTTTCCCCTTTAAATATTACAAGTAAATGATGAACAGTAAAAAAGGGCACCTTTTATATTATACAGCAGCTAAAAAAACAAAAAAAAAAAATCCGATTGACTCACTAGCCAGATGTTTTTTTTATTTACAAGAAAAATCACCTGCCTATTTAAAATACCACAGAACTTTCTCTCCAACCCGATAGTTTGAAGCCACCTGGAAATTTTAACATTACTGAGATCTTGAAGTTGCTGCAACTTCTCTTCACATTCTTTAGGCAGTGGGGCATCCCAGTCAAGTTTTAAAAGCCACAACTGCTGATAAAACATTTTCAGCTTGACTGTACAGGGCAATAGCAAGCCAAGGGAATCAAAGATTTTAGAAGATTGAGAAATGAACTTTCTTTTATAATTTCTGTCCCGAAATCCATAGAAATGTTAAATTAAAATACGTCTTCTGTAGAGTTCCAAAACAATCATAAAGTTTTGGCACAATCATCTGAGTGAACTTCCAGGTCACTTTCTTCTTGATTATATATGGATAAATTTTCGAGAAGCTTAGGGTAGTTTGCTCTTGATTTCCTTAAACTGAATCCACGTTTCTCCTATAACTGTGAAAACTTAGAGCATAGATTAATTACTTCCTCTAAACTGTTTGATCCAAATAAACAATCATCTACTTAGAAATCGTTTTTAAGAATGGAAGATACATAAAGATGATTCTGTTCTAAATCCAAGATAATTTGCCACAAACAGTGTGTCTCTAAGAACCGTACCATGCAGATGCAGTGCCATAAGTAACTGTACATAATTTATATGTCTGTATTCTTGAATTAACAGATTCTCTCCAAACAATTCTTTATAAATGTTGATCCTCATTATCTACTAAAATCTTGTGGTACGTTTTTTTTCTATGTCAGCAGAAAAAGCTATTTTATGTATATGAAAATTGAACAATATTTAAAGTATATCTCATTGTAGTGTTGTACCTACCCCTGAAACAGAGTTCAAAGGAACTGAATTTTTAGGTTTACATGATCTGTCAAATATTACGTGAATTTTAGTGATAGAGCTACTTGGTTTAATAACAGCATTGATGCGGTAGATAATACACTTGATTATTTTCTTCAGTCCGAACAACTGAAGCCATATGATTTAAAGTTTCATATTCTTGCATGAACTCCTTGTATTACCTACCAAGCTCTTTATCTAAATCAAATTTTCTTTCCATGGATAGAAGACGGGAAATAGCCAAAGGTTTGGAGGCGCCTAACTCTTCAGCTTTACTGAAAATGGGCAGTCGGACGACAAATCTGCCATTCTCATTTACTCGATAGTTTTCTTAAAAATGCTTCTCACAAAACTCTTCTTCAACCGTTGACTTCTGGTTTTGAAACGTTAATTCTTCCAATTAACAAAAATGCTTAAGTGTTGCATTGATTTTATCTTCAATATGTAAACATATGCGATTAACACTAATGTGATGTGGAGTACTGCCTTCTGTTTTAATTCTGCCCGATACAACTTAACCAAAAATAGTATTTTGTGCAATTACATTTTTGTAGACAACAGTTTGCCCTGGCTGAAGCAGAGAAAAGAAATAGCTCCAATTATCATGTCTATTTGTTTGGGCGTACTGAAATTCGGATTAGCTAGATTAATTGAATTCAAATAATCAAGGTCTTTGTTATCAATCTTTTCTGAAGTCAAATGCAAAGTAAATTTTTTAAGAATATATGCTTGTATTAAAATACCATTTTTTATCAACTCTGATTTTGGAAAAAAATCTACATTTACATAACCGCGAGTCAAAGCTGCTTCAGAATCACCAAGTCCCTTTATGCAAATGTGGGCATTTTGTCTGCATATATTTAACAGTCGAATAAATGACTCACTGATAAAAGAAGCTTCACTTCCACTGTAAAAAAGGATGATACATTTGTGACCTTGACCAGCAGAATCATAAGTTATTACTGCCACTGTTGGTAAAAATGAAGTACTCTGATCCTGAATAGAAAAACTTAAAGTATTGTTTTGTTCTCTGAATTACAAATTTGTTCATCAAATGAAGATGAATTTGACACTACTACATTATTACTTTTAATATCTTCATATGATAGTTTGCTTTACAAGTAGAACATAAAGTTTGCGATGAACAAAATTTTACTTTATGATTCCCAAAACAATTGAAGCATAATAAATTCTTCTGGATGATATTTTACCCGTAATATCTGCATCTTTAAATTTATAACACTTTGATAAAGTATGAAAACCATTGCAGTGCTGACATTTTAGAACAATGTTTATTATTATGCGAAACACTCTTAGAAACAGAGCATTCATTTTTATGCAATACTCACTTTTCAGTATTAGGAGTGTTTAACATTTCGAGTGAAACCTATCTTGAGTTTAAGAATTTCAAAAATCTTTCTAAGTTAGAAAATTCTTCTTTACCAACATTTTGTGACCATAAACGGCATGCTTCTGGATTGACATTTTCTAACAAAAAATAAATTAGACAAATATCTCTAGACAAAGCCTTTTCGCCAAGAGATGAAGAAATAGAGTTCAACCTATTGAGCACCCATGTGGGTTGTGGTTATACCTTAGAACTATCTTATTGAAGGCGGCAGTAGTAACATTTAGCAATTTAATTACGAAGACACATAAACATAAAGACTTAATTAACATGAAGATTATACATAAAAATAAAAAGAAATAAAAGAAGGCTTGCCCATGGCATCTTAAAAATGGAATCACTTCCTAATAATCATAATTCAGTGTTATTTTTAATTTCATAAACTTTATTGTTGCTTGTGTCTCCGAGAAGTGGTCATGTGATCTTGTGTTTTCTCATTGGTGAGCACTTTGCCATGCTTACAAATAAAAAGAAGCATGCCACCACACATACACACCTATATACACATATATTTATTACATGGAAAGAGATTTATTTCTCAGCAGTTTTCTTTAAACTCTACAATGGCATTGAAAGGCTTAGCGATGCAAAAAGTGTAGGATCAATGAGGTTGGTTACGATACTGTTATGATTAGGTGAAGGAGCAGCCATTCTTTCCCACTTCGTTTATCCTCAGAACCTCACATTAAAAGAAAAGCTTTGTGACTTACAATGGTTAATTGAAAATTAGATTTAATGGCTTTTTTTTTTTTTTTTTTTTTTTTTTTTTTTTTTAGGAATTCTGAATTTCCATTGTATGTGGGTATCCAACAATTCATATGAAAGCAATTAATTTATTGCTCCGGTTTCCAGCATTGTACATGTATGAACAAGCATTTTCGTGTTTAACTAGTCTTAAGCGTAAGAATAGAAATTGTCTCCTTTCTGTGGAAGATATCTACATATATATATCAAAAATTAGACTTCACATTCAGCATTTATGTTTGAAAAAATAGGTGCAGATTTCATATTAATATTTGTTATAAATTGTAGTACTGAAAAAAATTATTATTTATGTACACCTATATTTAGAATAAATGACTAAAATGATAGTCATTTTTTCCTATTAGTGATTATTATTAAAAATATGAAAAAATATTGTTTTATTCACATCTATTGTTATTTCACAAGGGTTCTTTAAAAGTGAAAAATTTTGGGAAAACTGCTTTTCTGCATTTATTTAAATACCATTTTTTCCAAGTAAAGATTTTGAATTTGAGTTTTATTGCTATATTATTATGTTTAGCCTAATAGCAAATGGTTTTTATTTTAGATTGGCAGTCTTTCAACTCAGTATCCAGTACTGTATTTGCCAACCCATCGTAGCTATGCCGACTTTCTTCTTGTTTCGTATGTTTGCTTTTATTTTGACCTCCCTGTTCCTGTTATTGCTGCTGGACTGGGTAAATATTTTAATGGTTTAGGAAAGTGTTTTGAAAGGAATATATCTTGCCTTGAAAATTTTCTGTAGAACTGTGATATGCAAAAGTAAGAAAAAAAAAAAAAAAAGAAAAGAGGTTTTACTGTAAATTTATTTTAGATTTTATTTTTTGAATGTTACATGTATCCTTTAATGAGCTTTTTGTATTATGTTATTTTCACTCAAACAGAGCATATAACAAGCAAACTGCATGCACTGATTTTCTTCACATTATTTGGTACTGAAGATGTATTTTTAAATATATTATTTGTGGCTACATGTTTCTAATCATTATGCTGAGCAACAATTTTTTTTTTTTTTGGATATCACACAAATCAAAATGTGTGAATTCTAGATTTTTAGACATTTTGTTTAAGAATTCAACTGTATAATTAAGATTTCCCCCCTACACACAGATAGATATTTTGTGACACATTGTCAAATACGAGGGTTGGAACTTTAATAGTGGCAACTATTTATTTACAAGGAATACAAAAGTGATTCATGTCACCATGTTTTACAGTCCTTCAATATAGTCGCCAGCATTGTGTACAGCCCGTTTCCAATGATGTGGAAGTCGCAGAATACCTGTAGCAGCGCCTGTTTTGTTGATAGTTTGAATGGACCGGTCTACTGCCGCAAGAATCTCAGGAACAGTTTGGAAGCGAGTGCCACAAAGTGGTTCCTTCATTTTAGGAATTAAGTCATAGTCTCAAGGGCTTAGATCTGGGGAGTATAATGAATGGTAAAGCACTTTCCAGCCCCATCGCTTGAACAAATCAGTCACAGCTTGCGCTGCATGCGGCCGAGCATTGTCATGCAAAATGAGAGAAGCATTCTGCAGAAAGTGTCGCCGTTTTTTTCTCAAAGCTGGTTGGAGATTGTGCTCCAAAAATGAGCAGTAATACTGCGCAGTGACGGTCTGCTGTGGGGGAACAGTATGCGTTAGGGTGACACCATCACAGTCGTACATGAGAATCACCATAACTTTCACATTGCTGGGGTTCTGACAAAATTTCGAACGTCGTGGTGACAAGTGACGACGCCATTCGTTTGATTGGCGTTTCAGTTCTGGCTGGTACGATCGGGCCCAAGTCTCATCCAGCGTAATGATATGGCATAACAAAGCATCTCCTTCGCGCTCATAGCGCTCCAGGTGGGTTCGAGCAGCATCGTATAGTGGCCATTTCTGCATTTCCGTCAAACCCATCGTGAAGACAATCATCGTCAAACCATTTTCCGTGGAAACCCATCGTGAAGCAATTTTTCTCATGGAAAGGCGTTCCTTCAGAATGTGCAGCACAGTCGTATGCGCTAATTCTGTTTGTCTGGCCAGCTGACGAATCGTTTGGCGGTGATCACTGTCCATTAGTGCGGCAACAGCTTGCACGCCTGCATCACTGACACTCGGACGACCTGGCCGCAGCATGTCTGCCACGTTTTGGCATCCTTCATTGAATGCTTTCACCCATCTTGCTACGGTTCTGTAAGGCAATGCAGATTCCCCACAAGCCTTTTGAAGCCCTTGATGACACTGTCGTGCTGTACAACCTCTGGCATATTCAATTTTTATGCAACATCGTTGTTCTTGTTTTGAGAACATCCTGACAACACTTACTTTAGACCGCAAGCTAATACAAGGATTCGTTCTTCGTGTCACTCCACATGCGCGTGATGTAGGCAGGACGAGTCTTTTTGCTGAGAGGTAAGGTAGGTATGAAGTTCACGTGTGGTATACGTGTTATTCTTTTAGTTTTGTAGCGTAGCGTTTTTTCAGCTGTGTTGCCACTATTAAAGTTCCAACCCTCGTATATGCATAAGTTTGTACAGTATATAATGTCTTGAGGAGTAGTTGAAATCAGCATGCATTCTGGGACTGTTGTGGTGTTAATATCCTTTTTCAGCATCAGATGCTTTTTGGTAAATGTGCTCATCATGTTTATTACTTACAATTTGAGACTGGCTTTGAACAAATCCACATGAAAATTAATTAAAAAAAAAAAAAAAAAAAGAATTTTCATACACTAAAATGTCTTATGTATGATTTCAAACAACTATTCACTATATTAATAAAAAAAATGGCATGGCCAAAGAACAAATGCTGAATATCAACAAGAATCAGCATTAAGTTGCATATCTGCAGCACTAAGTTTCGAAGGTTAAATAGAACCTTTTTCAGCTGCAGGAAGGAAAATGATGAAAGATAAGCATGAGCTATAAACAAAACTGTAGAATAAAAATTCAAAAAAGTTCCAACCAGGGAAGAAAAACAAAGTCAGATTCGTAAAAATCTTTCAGCTGTAGTTAATGATTCCAATTCTAATCTGTCTTTGCCTTTCACTTAGCTTTCCTGAGACAGGCTCGTTGATTTGACTTTTTGAGCACTTCTTACCTAATAGTGTTGAAAATCATCAGGTGTGAGCAATGAGACACATTTATCAGGTTTAAATGTTACCTGAATCATTATTCCCTAGAGAGACTCATGTTGTCCTACCCCCCCCCCCCCAGAATGTGGCGAAAAACATTATATATGGCTTAACTGGTAATGCTTTCTCCAGAGCAGGGTTCTATATCAAGATCATTAAAAGTATTTAATAAATATGGGAAATAGAAATACATTTCCACCCTTCTTTTCAGCTGACATTGCAACGGGAATTACTGCTCATTTGAAGGCATATCCCTTTGGGAAATCCTCTTTATTAATTTTTAAACAAGACAGTAGGGAACAAGAAAGAAATTTTTCACTTGGGTAGTGTTACACTACTCAACATCCTTGAGTGTAACAAGTAGGTGGTCCAGGTTGATTTGGCAGGAACTTCCGAATAAGACTTGACAGCTACTGAAAGGGGGAAAAGAAACATTTCTATTGTAAACTAAGGCCAGTTTCAGACGTAAAAGTAATCTTTGGAAGGGGAAAAAGTTTATAAATATTTGTATTTTGTAGGATGGGAAGCAGTTACAAAAATTATTTCATAGTTGTTTTCACTTTTTTTCAATCGACGGTGTGGGCATCTTTACATAAAGTAGCCACAATTGGTCAAGAGTAAAGGCTTTATAGAGGTATCCATCATAAAAGTGCCTACAGCATTGTCAATATCAGTTCATTTTTTAATTTGAAGAAAATAGCCTTCTTAAAAATACTGATACTTTTATACTAGAGCATTCTTGTGAATGGTGGTTGATGTAGGTACATTCCTGCACCTTTTTTGAAGGAGTATCATTTTGAAAGGGTTTAAAGGCAAGGGAAGGAAATTTGCCACTTTTGTGCTGCAGAGTAAAGAACTAGATCATATGATAATGGAATATGAGATGAACTGATGATGATTGTATTAAGATAATGATAATTATGAATAATTTGGTAAATATTTTATGCTGATAAAAATGATTATCTTCAAGAAGAAAGGATAGATATTGAATGTCTTTCCATGAACCTCTTCCTTTTTCATACTTACAGTCAGAGTAAAAAATGTGTGAAATTCTTTGAACATATGTGCGAAAATGTCTCCATATTGAATTTCACCGAACCTCGAACTCAGCTCGTTTATCAGTGTCATGAAAAATTATTACAGTGAATCTTTGGTTTGTGAATTTAATTTGCTCCTGTGATGTTCCTCATAGAAATATAAAATAGATTCATTCCTTCCTAAAATAGAGATGGTTGCTTATTTAGCCTTACAACAGTGCCGTGCATGCAAGTTCATGACCCTAAACCTAAGGAAATTAATAGATATAAAACAAAGATAAACACAAAGCAGGTCAATATAGATCAAAAACTTAAATTTAATTTTATGGTATATTTATGAAGAAGAGTGGATGGCATAAGTGAAAATGATTTAGTTGTTATTATTTGAGTGTGAAATTCCCCTCTACAAAAATGTCTTTAACAGCTTCTTTTATGTTTCTTTACCTCTATGCATCATTTGATTGTCCTTGAGATTATCCTCCTGTTTCACTCAAAATTTTTTCAGTACAATTTGTTGTTGCTTGTATTTAAAAATATTTTTAAAGTAAAACATGATATTGCCATTGAAATTGCAAATGCTGTAGCATGCTATATCTTTATGAGTGTGATATCAGTACAGGAAATACTTTGCATCTTATTTCAATTTGCACAATTTTGCACATCAGAGAACAAGGATAACTTTTTTTTTCCTTCATTTCTTCCTTAGTTGCCTTTTGTTACTATTTCTGAAGTTGTAGTTCTTTCTTGTTGAGCTCAGTTTCACGATTCTCTAGCAACCTTTTCACATTTTCATTGTTAAATTCATAACACTTGTTTTGTTTAGAGCAGGGGTTCACAATCTTATTGCCCCTAAGAGCACATTTTAGAATATTTGTTGGACAGCAGGTACCATTTGCTTTTTCAAGGTGAATTGGGCCATGAGCACCATGGGGTTGGGAACCTCTGGTCTAGAAGCACAATATGCTGATATAAATATCTCTCCAACCTACCTTATTTTTCCAGAGCCTGAATTCACGCTACTGTAATTTCACTTGCTTCAGGGTTTTGTAAATGGGAACTAAGGAATAGAAAATGCTAAAATTATATCTTCAGAAGTTCCTGAATGTTAATTCTGTAACAGAGATTACCTCAAAACACTGCCAACTTGAGTGTTCATAACTGGAAACATTGTGTGTTCATCTGTTGCGTTTTCTGTTTAAATAATTTGTTCATAAACTGAACTGTTAGTGAAGTGTAGCATTTGTGATCTGATGTTCCACTCTATAACGAAATGCTTATTTTTATTAGAAATATTAATTAAATAAATAAATGTAAATTTTATATACAAAGATATGGACATTTGTTTTTAAAGCTAATCAGAGCGTACTAAATATTTTAACTGCAGTTTTTACTGTATGAATGCCATATAAAAATCTTCTCACCTTCAGTGTTAAAAGTGTTTTTATGTATTTTCTGTGCTATGGTAAAGGCTTGACTATCTGGAAAGATGAGGAAATACTGAATCCTAGATACAGGAAAAT